GTGAGGGATGAGACAAAATGGCTTCCTGATGCCAATGATCTGGTGAGCTGGACCACTCATACAGGAGGGGTTACCTGTGAGGGATGAGACAAAATGGCTTCCTGATGCACCAAGGCCTATGAGAGGGGATGGTGCATCCACCCCTGGTTCATTCCATCTTGGACCAGGGAGAACTCTCCCACGTGTGTTTGTCGTGCTTGGCAGCCTGTATTGCCAGGAGACAGGAGTCCTGGAGGTTGAGCGATACTGCACACTGCATCCTGCGTTCTCTATTGTGGTTAGACGGGTCGCTTGATCAAGGTCCTGTCAAGTCAATTGGCGGGTCAAATGTGGCTGGGGTCAAGCAGGCACTGTCCAGTCGGTAGTGTGTATATTTCCTCACTATTCCTATGGCTGTTGGGAGATTTTGAGTCCCAACTATAGTTTCCCCTTGCTGGACTCCATGATGGGTAGGTAGGGGGGGGTGAGGAAATGAAGAATTTCTACAAATTTACAAAGAACTTGCTCTCTCCCTGACGATCTATGCAATCCCCTGGCCAATCCCTCTGGAACCTTACCAGAATGGGAATCGTAATGGTTCCTGAGCACTCAAACCAGGTAAGATGGAAAAACGTCCCCCTCAGTCCATTAAGGAAATCTTACCTGGTAAATATGAAAGTATAGCATATAGTAAATACCTAGTAGTGAAGACCATTGATGGTGTTTCAGTCATGGCTCTTGATATTTTTGAAGTACGTCGGAAGACAGTTGAAGTATATCCTCGCATCACCCTACAGTGAGATGCTAGAATGATATTTGATGTTTCATCACCAAACAAGAGTGACCATCTGCGTGCAATATGCAACATTCCTAGGGCTCAAGTCTCTTGTTCTCCTCACAAAACACTCAATCAGTGTAAGGGAATTCTGAGTAGAAACTGATTAATGTAGTTGCAGTGAAACATTTTAAGAAAGTTGATGATTTTGAACAGTTGACACCATCTCTCCTAACTTTTGAAATGTTAGTCCTTCCAGAACCAGTTAAGTTGGCATGGTACCACCTCAAGGTAAAGCCATATGTGCCCAACCCTATGCAGTGTTTCTGCTGCCAGGGTTATGGGCATGGAGCCTACTCTTGACGTTTTAGGAAAAATGGAAAATCAAGAGTGTGTGTAAAGTGTGGTACAAGAAGTCATCATGATGACAACTGTTCAGGTCCAATATGCTGTTACTACTAAGATCACGGAGCTTCTTCTAAACAATGTAAAAGGTACAAACATGAAAAAGAAGTATTGGTAATAAGGAGCAAGGAGAAAGCTAGTTTTCCAGAGGCAAAGCAATGTGCCCGTGTGCTGTTTGCACAGCCAGGGAAGTCCTGTGCCTCGGTTCTAGCCCATCCTCCTTCCCGCCATCTCTTACCCTCCAACACTACTTACATCCCAACTCTGCCACTACCTTTAACCCTTAGTCCTCAAATGCTGAAACTGCTTCTGGTGAGTTGTTCCACCAGAAACGCAGTGAGGGGTCTATTGAGGAGACTCCTCCTCCCAAAGCCAAGGCTCCAGAAGCCTCAACAGTGACAGCTCTAGCTGCCACAACACTCATAGGGCCCTCTGCTGCTAGGCAGAATACCCCTGAAATTAAAGCTCATTTATGCCCTTTGCCTAGGCAGAGGAATTCTCAGCGTGTTCAAAAGACTCCAAGAGTGGGATGTTTAGAGCCATCAGACCGGCCACCAGAAGCCTCAACGGTGATAGCCCCAGCTACCACCACATCCACAAGGGCCTCCTGTTGCTAGACAGAATGCTCCTGAACAAAAGCTCAGGACCGTCCTTTGCCCAGGCAAAGAAATCCTGAGCCTGTCCAAAGGAAGCCTGTGGAAACTAGTTCTGCAGGTAAATAGCCCATCAAAAGGTACTCCCAAAATGCTGGAAAGGGACAGCCTTAAGGGGCAGGCCTTAACCACAGGTGCTGTCAACCTGAAGGACTGAATATCCTAATCCAATGGAACTGTCAGGGAATTCATGCAAAATGGGAAGAGCTGCAACATCTGATAGCTTTATGTAACCCAGTTTGTGTATGCTTACAAGAGATTATGACCAGGGAAAATCATCCGATTTCCTGAGAGGATCCTAAGTTCAAGCCCATTTTGGGACCTTTGATAATGGACCTCATGGAGAAGTAGCAGTGATGGTACGTCAGGATATTCCCTTCCAGGCCATCCACAAACATTCTCGAATATTGACCTGTCAATTGGTTCACCTGATTCATAGTTGAATTTCACTTGGCAGGTCATAGAAGACTTAAATGGAAGCGACCACTTCCCAATACTTTTGGAGGAGGTGAATAGTATTCCAGCCAATGGAGTGCAGAGATGGCAAGTTGAACAAGCAGACTGAAATATTTTTAGATTAAGTGCAGTATTGCAAAGATCTGTAAATTATTTCCAGCGGGTTCAAGATGCTGTTAATCACTTCACATCGCGAATTCCCCTTGCAGCAGAAGCATCCATTCCCAAAAGTAGTGGGAAGTACTGTCGAGCTCCAGTACCAAGGTGGTCTGATGAATGCCAACAAGTTGTTCTTTTAGAGCAAGAAAAGCTGCATTAAAGCAGTTGAAATGGCGCCCCAGTGATGTATCCTTGATCCATTATAAAAAGGCCAGGCGAGTGCTAAAAGAGGACGTCATGGAGACAGTATGTATCCCCAATTAACTCTGGTCCCCCTTTAGCATGGGCATGGGACAAGGGGCTTAAGATTGCTGGAAAGGGCACATCCATGTCACCACCTGCTCTGAAGATAGGCTAACTAAATCCATGGCAGAGATCTCCTCTGGAGCAATGTTGTTCTTCAGTAGGACTGCAGCAGACCTTCAATACAACTTGCCATTTTTGTGCAAGGAGGTGGACTGTGCTTTGTAGCTGTGCTGTAAGGCTACCCAAGGAAGTGACGATATTCCATACCAAATGATATCTCACTTACCGGAGAGTTCCCAAAAATTCCTATTGGACCTATTCAACAGGATCTATAGGAGGGGTACAGTGCCATCCACATGGAAAGAGGCTATAATCATTCCTGTCTCTAAACTTGGGAAGGATGCATCCACATCAGGGAATTACAGACCAATTTCTCTCACCAGTTGCAAGCTGATGGAGAAAATGGTAAACTTCATGTTGACATAACTGTTAGAGAAGGAAAACATGCTGACCCCATATCAGTGTGGGTTTAGAAAGTTGAAATCGACCACAGATGCACTTGTGGGGATGGAAACTGCTATACAAAATTCGTTCACACAGCGGCGTCACGTTAGCAGTTTTCTTTGACCTTGAAAAGGCTTATGATACTACTTGGAAGCACGGCATGCGAAGCTGTATGACATTGGTTTAAGAGGGAGTTTAGAGTGAGGGTGGGAAACAGTTTCTCTAACATGGAAGATCAGCTGGAAGGGCTCCCACAAGGGAGTGTGACCCTGTTTGCCATTGCCATTAATGCCATCGTACAGGTCATTCCAAGTGCTGTCTCATGTAATATGTATGTGGATGACTTTACACTGTACCGCTCAGAAGGAAGCTTACAGGATGTGCAAGGACATATGCAGACTGCAGTAAATCAGGTTGTGCAGTGGGCAACATACCATGGGTTCAAATTTTCTCCAAGCAAGACCATGGCTATGCATTTCTACAATCGAGGAAAGTTCCACCCTTCCCTATATTTAGGAGCAAAGTCACTGCAATTTGTCCAAGAGGTGAAGTACTTGGCTTACATGAGTGCCTCACATCAAACAGCTAAAGGTGAAAGATAAAAAAGCATTTAATATTTTGCGGGTTCTTTCACACCTATTTTGGGGTGCAGACTGCATAACACTTCTGCGGCTTTACCTAGTGCTTATTAGTAGCAAACTTGACTATGGATGTGAGGCTTATTCATCTGCAATTCCCATCATTCTCCAGATGTTGGAGTCAGTTCATAATGAAGCTCTCAGAATCTGTACAGGGGCTTTCAGGTCTTCACCTGTGGAGTCCCTGTATGCTGAGAGTGGAGAACCACCTTTTTCATTACACCGGGACTACAAGAACCTGATTTACTACACGAAACTATAGGATTCCAGGATCTCCTATATCCAGATTGGTTTTCAATCTCCTTGAGGATAGCCGATCCTATGGTAGGAAAATGAGGAATTGGAAGATCTCAATTTAAATCTCACAAAGGTTCTGGCTGTTGGAACTTCCCAAGTCCCCCCTTGGACTAATCAAGTCGGAATTGGGAAAGGGGAGAGATCCGAAGCAGAAGTCAGAGAGATATTTCTTCAACACATTTTAAGTACCAGGGATCATATGCAATATATACTGATGGTGCGAAATCTGAAAATGATGTGGGCTTTGCAGCAGTGAGCAGAAAGAAGACTCTCGATCAGTCTCGATTTTCACTGCACTGAGTTACATGCCATCCTTGCAGCAGTCAAGCTGACTAGAGATCATAGAAACCATTCCGTTGTAATATATTGTGGTGAGGGAGGTTCAAGATTGGCTTGCACTGATGTCAGCACGTAAAAAGATAACTCTGTGTTGGGTGCCAGCACATGTTGGTATCAGTGGGTATGAGCGAGCTGATCAGAAGGCCAAGGCAGCTGCCGCTCAGCCTTGTGATTGTGACTTGAAACCCAGCGTCAGAAGTTGTCTTCGTGATAAATGGAGGGAACAATGGAGGCATACCTCTAGAAATAAACTACGAGAGATTAGAGATGACCTTGGCAATTGGGTGACCGGCATCCATCCCCACCGACAAATAGAAGTTGTATTAACAAGGCTGAGAATCGGACACACAAGACTGACTCATGGGCCGATGATGGCTAAAAGTGAAGTACGTTGTGAGGAATGCCAAGAGCCATTAACGGTCGCACATATAGTGAAAAAGATGAGCAACATTCTCAAACCAAAGACGAAGGTACTTGTCTCCCCCATATATACTGAAAAATGTATTGGGGGAGGATTGTGACATAGAAGGTCTTATTATGTTCCTTAGGGAAACTAATATTTTCAATAGAACTTAATTATGCATTATGTTTATGCAATAGTTTTTGACATTTAGAGCATGATGTTTATGCTTTTATGTTTTAATATAATATTTATTGCTATTTATGATATTTACTGGTAGATTTTTAACGTTTTCAATATTTTGATATTTCAGTCTAACAAGGTGTTCGCCGCAAATGACCTTAGCTGTTGACGCAGCAGAGAATTTTAAATAATCAGTCAATCCATCACATTTATTTTTATTTGTTTAATTTAAAAACTTTCTTACAACAACACCAAGGTTATATCAACGCATTGCCGCCGAACTCCCTCTTGGGTTGTATTCGGTTAGAAGTGGTTCGCAGAGCGACCGGCCGCAATGGACGCCTCCTTGGGGTTTTTATTAAGGTTTGTTCTATCTTTGGCTTCGTACTTTTACTGCTTGTTTTATTTCTTTTAAAATATTTTTATTGTCGCTACGGGCACTAGAAAGCATAATAAATATAAGGGGTGATTAAAATGAACAATATGAAGAGAAAGAAATGGAAAATGAAGTCATAGATGCAAAGAATGACTTTTACATACCTTTTTAAGGGTCGTGACGAGCTGTGCCACAGAGCATAGATACCGCCATTACCGCAAATCATGAGAATGCGATAATGGAGCCTAGACTTCGGATTATGTCGTCTGTGATTTATTAATTTACTATAACAACGTCTGCACTTCAGTTAAATTTTGTAAAACTCACACGTTTTACAATATTCTATGAGTTATTATATTATGATACACAGATAATCTGCAGCTTATCCATAAATATTAAAATTTAGAATATTAATGGAATTGCTTAGCATCTCTTGAAGCTAGGTTTCACACAATAATAATAATAATCAATTACTTAGTTTTATTCCATTTGTTTAAATGGATATTCTTGCTGTAACATGCTGTTTGTTTCATTTTGCTTCTAAATTATCCACTGTGTGCAGGGAATGGCCATGGTTAGCATCCACTGGCGATGAGGGATTTGAATACAAGTCAGCAAGATTGCTAGACAAGATTGCTACCATTGCACCACACAGCACATTAATGCGTAGGATATCGACACTTCTTTCTTCAATCATTTCCAGTGTTACAATATTTCTCAGTCAAGTTTAGAAACCTGTTACAAAAAACATTGTATATCATGTCAGTATACTGTTCCAGCATGATGTATCCTATGTGTCCGTGGTCAGCGCAGTTCCACTCATAGTTGTCTGGCGTGACCCTCCTGACTCTAACGCACTCTTCAGTATAGGCAAGCGACAGCTTTAGCGTGCTGTCCCAGATGACCACGCCGGTTCCCTGTAACTGTTGCCTTGCTATGGAATTGTACAAGGTAATGGCTTTTGGGTTAAAGTCCGGATATCTGTTAACCTCGGTATATGATCTCTGGAAGGAAGGAAAGGAGACAAAATGAAGCAGATTAAAAAATAATCATATAGAGTACGATGCACACGCTTTAGAAAAACAAAAGGGGATTGGGGTTTCCATAAGCTGGTCTAGACCTTTCAAGGAAAATGAGAGTAGATTAGACGACGAAAGGCACTGTCGAATGTATCTAAATGACTAAGGCTAAAAGGACCCGAAACACTTCCCTTTTCGGTTTTGCTTTTATTATCAACCATATAATGAAAGCCTCGAAAGAATCCTAAGCACTAAGTGTATGTAACTTACGTTTTAAACTTTGCATTTGGCAGTCATGGCGATCATAATATTTAATTCCAGTGACCAGTAACTTCCAGTATCTAAGTGATTTTGGACAACAAATAATGAAATCATGAATCAAGGTAGGCCAGTATTAGAAACTATTAAAGAGAGGTAGGAGAACTCCATGGTTAGGGGAAGAGAAAACTACTGGGCGTGTCCCCTGTGGCAAATGGTGTTCCCCTTGTTCAGATGAAGCCAATCATGGGAGCAAGATATGATGCCCGCTGAGAAAGATATCCTCGAAAAGACTACTATATATATGTTAAAAATAGTTCGTGGACCAAGCCATGGAGGAAAAGTGGGGACTTCAACATCTGTTTACTGAAGAAAACTATGAAACAATATAACAGAATATTGTGAACGAAGTAAGTGGAAACTATGCACTGGCAGATGCTGCCTAGTCCGTTTTGGATGACTGTTCAGCAAGTAGTTTCTGTCAGTCATATCGTGACTACACAATAATGAGAAAACTAAACTAGCTACATGGAATTACACATACTCTGTCAAGCAGGGAATTCTCAAAGCTTCAAAAGAATAAATGAAGATTATGAAACTGGGTGCTCTATGGTTGAGTGGCTTTAAATACCATGGTAAGCAGTATGTTAGGATAGTGGACAGTGCCGCCTAGAATATAATCAGTGTATATGCCTACTGGAGATCATCCACAGGCATTTCGTATGAGGCTGGAGCTGTGCAAGCCATGTGAGATGGTAATCACTGTGGTTTAGGGGGAGGGGGCAGGGGAGTAAAAACATAAAAAAGTGTGGA